ATCCACTAGACTTTGAGGCTGATAACCTTAGGACTACGCGTTGCTAACAGATGAAGTTTGCCTGGTAAGTAATATAGTCTCTTATAAACAAAAAACGTTTCAGTTTGCTCTAGGCGAAATGAGTTCAGCGAAAAAAACATCTCGAAAAGCACGCTCAGTGGACCAGTTTTTTTGAAAACCACAGTGCTGCCGAAATTCACCCAAGATTGGTGAATAGGGTAAGCAAAAAGATCCTAAGCGAAGGTACAGATCGTGCAAACTTATCAATTATGGTAATTGGAGTGCTGAAGATTAGCGAGAAACCACAGAGACAAGTACGCGCTGGTACGATCAAAGAGGCTTTTTTTCGAGAGCCGGAATCTGAGGGTTCTGACGGCTAAAACTGGTATTTCATACAAAACGTGTTACGGAATTACAACCCAAATTTTAAAACTATGGAAACCGAGTAAAAACTGGCACCCGTAAATTTAGTTCACGCTAGTTAAAAATGCGTACGATGTATGACACGTGTAATTTGCGAAATTTTAATTAGTAAAAAAATCTGCCTGGACCATACGGTCGTAGTAGACGGAGTGTGTTTCGATCTCTATCTCCAGGCAGAAGGGAGCCAGGCAAGGCGACAATGAAAATCGAGTTCGATGGCAGTGCCGAATAGGTTTAGATGTTGCGTTATGGTAGTGCATGCAGTAGACATCAGGGTATCTGCTACGATGAGATACTTGCCGAAAATGAAACGGTGAATACAGCCCGCTGTTTCAAGTTCGTCAAGAGACGCGTGGACTACTGGCGCGGCTATTAGAAACACGCAGTATAGCAACGCCAAGCCTTTCTGCCATGCTTCAACGATTTCCTGGATTGAGTATACAAATATCCAACGTTCTCTTCAACCCGCTTCTCTTGAGCTTAGTTCGTTTAATTACGAGATTTTCCTGTCCTACAAAAGCAACCGGTGGGCAGATTTATCCCACTATTAATTTATTTCGAGTAACCATAGATAGAAAAATTACATATGGGAGTGGGAAGGGTTTGTATATAGCTGTCCAGAAACTGCCAGAGCATTGAGACAAGTGCGTAAAAATATAGAGTATATTTAATTAATTTAACAGAACAATCATTATTCTAGCTCAATTGGCTCGAAAGTTAATTTCGAATTCTGCCGAATTCGTTTGTAACAGCCTAATGTATATTTCAAGGGTAAAAGTAGCAAGGAGCCATCAGCTGAGGTGCGCAAGTTAGTCATGCATTATAAATGCATCGGAAAGTTTCATCATAATGACAGGCCCTAGGCAACATTTGATGCCAAGCTCTGACATTGTTCAAGGCATTGATAATAGGTTGAATCATTCGGTCTGGCAAACATGACTACAGATTTTTGATTGTAGCGAAGATTTCCTGTTTTAGACCACCCACCACCTTTGATAGGTTCCTCAGGCCTTGCAGCGTCAGTGGGCTTAGGAGAGTGTGATTACCCTCGAGATTATTTAGTTGATCCTGATTCTGCCAACTGTTCATGAAGCGGTCTCGAGCCTTGGCCAGCTGTTTGGTATGAAATGCTTGGTAAACTGACCAAGTTCACACATTCGCACGCATATTTCTGTTCTTTCATTGTTTCCTCTGTCTGAATCTATTTCCGGTTAGTTCGTGTTAATAAAA